AGCTACTCAACTCTCTGTGCTTATTGCTGTATTCATCGTGCGATCGTCCGCAACCCTCACACACAAATACCAGGTTCTATTCAAACGAGGATCGAAGGGGGTCCAACTGAGAAATCCAACAACAGTTACTCTCTCCTCCAAATCGCACATCAGTAAGTTATAATTTTGTTACTCGTTTTCTTCCCCTCAATATCAAAACTTTAACTCCGGGTAGCTCGCGTACAGTATTTAGTGTCCCGGATTACGCACAGGTAGCTACCTAGACTCCTGGATCAGCAAAAACCTACCACCCTTCCCACCCCACTTGGCGGTTTTCCTTTTTTTTCTTCTCAAAATCTGCCTCTTCGTCCAGCACCTCCACCTATTCCTCCATCTTCCCCCACGACCTACTTTCCACCCTCTTCACCTCCCAATGATCCTGAACATTAATGCTCAACTTCACCCAGAAGTCCACACACACACACACACAAACACACACACACGCGCGTACTTTGTCTCCGTGCTAGTAGTTAATAAAAATTGTAACAACCCCGCGAGGAAAATAAATGTAATCGTCAAGAATTATCTAAATTCTAATTCAAATTATATCACAATTTCTTTTCGAATCCTTCCCTTTTCCCCCTTCATTTCTCTTATCCGCTCTCGGTCCGTCCGCGATAAAGAGATTCAGTTCTCTGATCGAAAAAGGACCACTCGTCGTACGTCGATACACGTGTAAAGCGATCCTTCTGGTCGCTGACTCGTAACTCGATCTGCTAGTACGATCGAGGCCTTACGTCGTGTTGCGTTCTCTACCAGGACGTAACGTCCCGACGTAACATAAGTGTGTGTGCTACGTTGTCATTTCAATTTTCTTACACATAGACGTTACATAAGTGTGAATGTCACGTTGCCGATATTCGCATTCTCTCCAAAACAAACTTTTGCTGCTTTCTGATGAATTATTCAAACCGCTTGTATACTGGATGCATCAAAGAAAAAGTTTTTAGAAAAGAGAGTTGTAGGCGCAAATGTAGTTTGCGAATAATATTTTGAAGAATACGTTACCTATTATTTGAGATTTCAATATAATTAGCAACGGTAATTTGAGATATTTTTTTTATTTCGTACTGACCAATGTTACACTTTATTTTCGCACGTAATTTTACCATATAAATTGCTGCAGTTAGTAAACTATAATTGAAAAATAAAATCAGTGTCATGATAGTAGAAGTTCCATATCGTTTTCATCCTTGAAAGAGGAATGCCCTATTTTATTTATGCATGTATTTTTACTATACAAAAGGATTTCTAATTTGGTCAAGTCAACACAAATTAAAATTTGTTGGGAAATGTTGTTCACGTGATACCGAATACTTTTGCGAAACTATTGTTTCGTGCTAATTGGACCAAAGTAAAACCCATTTTACATTGTGAAATTACATGCGAAAATGAAGCAGCATATCCAAAAATATAAGACAAAAACGATAAGGAACGATTATTATCACGACATCGAATCTTTCTGCAAAGTTTACTTCCTTGTATCTGCGTCAAATTAAAAACCCATTTGCATGTTGAAAGTACGTGTGAAAATGATGTGGAGCATCCCACAATATGAGACAAAAACAATAATGAACAGGTACTATCATGAAATCAAATCTTTCTGCAAAGTTTACTTCTTTCTATCTACGTCGAATTAAAAATCTTTTTACGAAAATATGTATGAAAATGAAGCGGAGCATCCATCAATATGTGACGAAAACGATAACGCACAATTACTATGCAACTGACGGTCGCAGCTGTCAGTCTCAGGACCGTTGAGATTATAAATAGCGCATCTACGTAAAAAGTATGTTGAATAAAATTTGTTTCCAAAAGACATCACACCTATATGATAGTAACTGTGCATTATCGTTTTCGTCTCATATTGATGGATGCTCCGCTTCATTTTCGCAGGTACTTTCACGCAAAAGTTTTTAGTGTGACACAGGTAGAAAGAAGTAAACTTTGCAGAAAGATTCGATTTCGTGATAGTAACTGTGCATTATTATTTTTGTTTCAAATTTTTGGATGTGCCGCTTAATTTTCGCACGTAATTTCACAATGTAAAATGGTTTTTACTTTGGTCCAATTAGCACGAAACAATAGTTTCGCAAAAGTATTCGGTATCACGTGAACAACATTTCCCAACAAATTTTAATTTGTGTTGACTTGACCAAATTAGAAATCCTTTTGTATAGTAAAAATACATGCATAAATAAAATAGGGCATTCCTCTTTCAAGGATGAAAACGATATGGAACTTCTACTATCATGACACTGATTTTATTTTTCAATTATAGTTTACTAACTGCAGCAATTTATATGGTAAAATTACGTGCGAAAATAAAGTGTAACATTGGTCAGTACGAAATAAAAAAAATATCTCAAATTACCGTTGCTAATTATATTGAAATCTCAAATAATAGGTAACGTATTCTTCAAAATATTATTCATAAACTACGCTTGCGCCTACAATATCTTTTTCTAAAAACTTTTTCTTTGATGTACCCAGTACACAAGCAGTTTGAAGAATTCATCAGAAAAGCAGCAAAAGCCTGTTTGGGAAAGAATGCGAATATCGACAACGTGGCATTCACACTTATGTAACGTCTATGTGTAAAAAAATTGAAATGACAACGTAGCACACACACTTGCATAACTTTTGTGAAAAGATGATATATGAAATCATAATTCGGCGCAAATCATAATTAGCGCGAGCATGGCGCTTATCAAATTTTGACGATCGTTTCCGTTCCGTATATAGATATCAGGTATGTAAATATGAAACCGGAATTTTTGTATAGAAAATACACGTTTATTGTATAAAAATGATAAAAAATATTTTATTCGAAGTATTGCCCATTGCTAGCTATACATTTTTCCCACCTGTCTGACAATTTGTGGATGCCACGCCAAAAAAACTGTTTCTCTTTTGAGGCAAACCAGTCATCGAGCCATTTTCGTACATTTTCGTAAAAAGTGAAGCGCTGCTTAGCAAGTGTGTGTCCCATCGATGCAAATAAATAGTAATCGGACGGTTAGTAATTGAAAAATCGGTAATTGAAGTAATCGGTCGAATAGTAATTGAAAAATAAAATCAGTGTCATGATAGTAGAAGTTCCATATCGTTTTCATCCTTGAAAGAGGAATGCCCTATTTCATTTATGCATGTATTTTTACTATACAAAAGGATTTCTAATTTGGTCAAGTCAACACAAATTAAAATTTGTTGGGAAATGGTCTGGTCGCCAAGTCTGGTGAGTAAGCCGCATGCGAAAGTATTTCCCAACTAAACGCCTCAATCGTTTCCTTGACCAGTTTTGCTGTGTGTGATAGTGCATTATCATGAAGCAAAATCACTTTGTGTTGCCTTTTTTTATATTCTGGTCGTTTTTCACGCAAAGCTTGATTCAAATCGATCATTTGTTGTTGGTAGCGTTCAGTATTAACGGTTTGGCCAGGTTTTAGCAGCTCATAATAGATCACACCCTTCTGATCTCACCAAACAGAGAGCATTGTCTTCCGTCCATAGCGATTTGGCCTTGCAGTCGATGTCGATGGTTCGCCTGGAGTTACCCATGATCTTTTACGCTTAGGATTCTCAAAATATATCCACTTTTCATCGCCAATCACAATTCGATGGAGAAACGACTTTCTTTTGTACCTGGCGAGCAGCACTTCGCAAGTGGTTTTTCGGTTTTCCTGTTGTCTTTCATTCAGTTCATGTGAAACCTATTTTCCCATCTTCTGGATCTTTCCCATGGCTTTCAAACGTATGGAGACGGCTTCTCGTGTCACATTTAATTGATCCGCGAGTTGTTGTTGCGTTTGACCCTTATAGAAATATCATACTAAGAATCATTGATAATTACTTATTATCCAGTATTTTTAATAC